TGTTTACTCTGAAGCATGCGTACGTTGTCTTTGCTATTCATTTGTTTGTCTATCAATACGAATTGCAGAGGGCATTTTCTCTTCGAGTTCTACGCCCCCTACTTTAATTTTTGACGATATTTTTTACTGTTATAGAGGGCTGTGCTTTTCTTTCTTGGAGATGCATTTCTTTGACCGTGATTACTAGAAAGAAGACGAAACACTATTGGCGGAATGTGGGATTACGTAAATCCATATACATCGCAAGATCGTAATTGGATTTTTTCGTGCTATTGGAACGCGAGGCTATTTTCACGTTCAGATTGCGTCGTAGTTTAAAGTTCAGATTTTAAAGATGTCTTTCAGAACTTGGGACAAAGGTATAATGTTAATTTAGATCCTATGTTCGAATTAGTGAGGAGTTGGATTTGCTTTCTGAATTCAGGATGTTTTTGGAAATTAAATAAGTTTTTTTAAAAAATGTTATTAGTACAATGTATACTAATTAGATGAATTTGTAATTACGCTTTGGGTGTTATTCTTTTTTACTTCTTTTAAACCTTCGGCCCGTGATAAATTGCCGTGGGTTATGGATTTCGCAGTTTTCTATAGACTGTGATTGTGATTGGGACACGAGGTAGTTGAGCTTTCGTGGTTCATCGTACGTGTTTTCTACGGGGTTGCCGCTGCGCTCCTGGTTATTTAGTAGTCATTGGGTTCTTGTGAATAGAGTCCGGAAAAAATATGTACATGAATATGTAATAATAATAAGAATATGTAACAAATATGTAAAAAGAGATATAATATTTAATATCAAAATCGCTTTAATTTATTATTTTTACAAGCAAAATAAATTAACGCAACTTCAAATTTACGCAATTTTTAAATTAAAGCAATTTGAAATTAACGCAATTTGAAATTAACGCAATTTGAAATTAACGCAATTTGAAATTAACGCAATGTGAAATGTGCTATAATAAAATATTTAATACACCAATTTCAAGATCATAGTTCGTTGTCCTCCTGGATTAGACTTTTGAAGAGTACATTTTTTATGTTTGAGAGCAATGATAGCCGTCGTAAAAAATGGGAACTCAAAAGACCTGCAGACACTGTGGCATTGTTTTCCTGGTGCTACTGTCTGTGACAGCTAATATCTCTCGTAAATTGGGATTAATGATCAAGAAACACGACCTCACTGATGCTTTCTACACGTAACGATAGTATTTTCAGTGCTCACGTGTACTTGTCGCAACATGCAAGCAGTGCAGGCATGTGACCACGTTTTCACGGTGGTGCACTTCGCTTGCAATTGTGTGTGTATGTGTGTGTGTAAGAAAAAATATGACATTTTTTAAAATAAAAACTGTTTTTGAGAATGTATTGATGGTTTTTGCAAAATAAATTGCAATAAAATTGGTACAATGATGAAAAGTTTTGCAAAGTATGTAAAATTTACTCAGAATGTGTAAAATATGTCGTATAGTACTAAATATGTAACGAAAAATTTGGTTATTGCGTTAGGATTGTTCTGAGCCGCGAAGATCAAAATTTTGACAAATTTACATAGTAGTACAAAAATATGTAATTTTATAAAAATTCTTATGACAGACTCTTCTTATGATCCAGCACAGTTTCTGCATAGCCTGAGCACCGTCAAAAAACCGATCGGTGATTTTACTCGGGAAAATGTATAGGCTGGGTGGTGATGTGCGTTACTTCTTGCTTTCTCATTTAGGTGTTTGAAAATAAAACCGAGGAAAGTAGATTCTTCGAGTATTTTGAAACAGAAGAGAGATGTAGCAGTTGCCAGATTACCAGCAGGATTCGAGAAACTTAATGGGCAGTTTTGACATCGTCTTTTGGATATTATATTGGCGCCTAGGCGAGTTTTAATTTGCGCCCCCTCCCTTACAAAGAAAATAAATTAGTTAGAAGATTATTACTACTACTTTTTGTTATGTTTTTTAACTTAATGCTGTGCAGTGGTGCCTTTTCCGTTTCTGAGAAAAAACAAACTTTTGGAGTTATTTTTAGAAAATTTTGAAAATGTCATGTAAAGTTGTATCTCTCTAACCCAAAATACCCTTTTCAAATTAAGGGTGGAGGGACATCAGCCATCGATCTTACAAAACGTGGATTTCCAACTAAACAACATGATAGAAGTAATATACCACATAGGGGAGCAATAATTACCCACAACAATAATTTATCTTGGATCTGCAATACTTTTTCTGACGAAAAATCGACAATATTTTGCCGAGCATTTAACAAAACACATTTTACCTTTTCGTATACTACCTATGTAATATATAGAAATTTAATTAAAATATTTTGATTATAAAACAATTGTATTGAAGAGAGGTGTAGAAAAATAATTCTAAATAACTGTCTTCACAATTTTGGCTCTCTATTGACAACCATTGGCGGAAATTTATCGTATTGCCTCGGCAACCTTGTAAGTACTACCTTTTTATGTGGCATTTTGTATTTCTGTGGGAAGGGGGTTTCTTTTTCTACTTTCCAAATTTCAACGTTCGTTGTTACAGCAGTAGCGCGCATTGCTCCGAACTCACTTTGAATACTCACTCCGAGTAAATGAGTTCGAGGTATCCGAATTATCCCCAGGGGTTCCTGCCGTTTGATCATATGACATGCGTGACGTTGATTTTTCCCCGTCTAAATCCATGGGGTTCGACCCCGCGAACTGGGGGAACAACCCCAGGTAGGTGGTGGCAGATTTTTCACGACGCGAGACGGCGGCCGTGGTCGCGGCTGGCAACCTTGAGGTGCCATGTTGGCGAGCCCGTGGCGCGGGCCCGCCATGCGTGTTGCCTACCCGTCGCCGGCCGTTGCTCTCGACTGCTCTCGCCAGGTCGGTGACGTCATCTGCACTGGCAGCGTTCGCCGAGCCGCGAGGCGAGACGAGCGACGGCGGCCTGGCCCGGCTTCCGCTGCCGCAAGCGACCAACCAGGAGGCCGTGACACGGCAGGAAATGAAACGGCACCGCAGGCTCTTTATTTATTTTAAATAAATGAGGTCTCTTAACGTTTGTCGAGCCCAACAAGAAGAAATCGACTCCCTACCCCCGAGAAAACAGAGCAACCAATGCGAACGCCCGAACCATATAGCACATTGGATGTGTGAAAAATGGCCCAGTTTTGTACAATTGGAGTTCGTCGAACGCACTATTTCAAACTGTATCATTTCTATACTGTATCAAAATACTTTCAGGACGCTGTTGTCACTCCACATTGCAATTCCAAGTCTAGGATTCATTGCGTTTTACGTCAAACTGCTTTGAGTCTGTGCAACTAATAATTTCCTATGCATTTTTGGCAAAATACTTTGGTCGCGAACAGTTTGTTAGTATGTTCGGAATCGAAAGTATCCGTTATCCAAACTACGCCATGTCTCTTTTGTTCTCTGGTCTCGCAGAGAATTTGTTCGGCGATTGAAGGATAAGATCCAAATAAAAAAAAATAAATAAATAAACAATAATTAAATAAATGCCTTGTCCCCTATATTTCCAAATGCCTCATAAGTACTTATATACGTAAAAGGCATCTTGAAATGTCTTCATCTGTCTAATATTCACGTTTCAGGTCATATGACGAATAAAACGGTATTCATAAGTGGCCTTGACGAAAACAAAGCCCTCTGATAATATATTGTCGCGATTGGATTTGCCGTAATTTTTTTATTTGCAGTAAAGTTTGAGGTTTCGTGTGGACGAAATAATTATGAAATGGTGTCATTTATATTAATGTGGCATTTTATTTTTGTCATGAGACATTTTGACATTATGTTCACTAGTATGTACACTTTGCCTATATTTTGAATTTAATAAACGTGAGCTTGAATCATGAATTGATTTTAGGCCATCATGAGGCCTACTATATTCTCATGACTCCACAACTCTTCCTCCCTATTATCCATCACCTTTCTTTAAAACTGAATCTTTTAAAGACAGCTGATATTATTTCTTTACGTGTTTTGACTAAACTGATCTATTTTGAAACATTCTTCTGAGTATATCTACTTGTTAGAATTTTTAGTGACTGTCTTTTGTTAATTTGTTGCCAAGTGTTTGTTTGTCTTGGCAATCTTCAGAGATGAAATAAATTTTGTCATACCACAAATTCTATGGATTTTTCACTGAAGTTTGAGGCATTTGTTTTTGTTTACTTTTTTGATATGATTCTTTATTGGTTGAATTAAGCATTTCTGTTGCAAACCAGGATCTGAGAGTGAAATAAACAAAACAAAGATGAATCAAATTCATGGAAAATATTTATTATGATTACAGCTTATGAAATATAATTAAAAAGTAACAATCAATTTACTTTGAGAATGACAAATGAGAGGGAGAAAGGACTCTCTTTTGTCTTAGGGGAAGTAAATTAGTAAAGACCTTAGGTTTTACACAATTTATTGATTCTTCTTGGTGTTCCATTCAAGTTTCATAAATTGGAATTCAGGGTTGTGTTAATTTTTCTAACTGTTTTTTCACTATGGTATTTTGAAACTTCATTTAGAAATATGGAGGAGACATATGGAAGTTCATGTAGGCACATTAAATGCAATTTTGTGCTTAATATTTTAATGTGATGCATTGAATAATTAGTAATTTAGTTTGTTCTTAGATAACCATTTTGTAAGTTTGAAGGTGGGATACTGAATTTTTATCCAAAAGAATTTTAACCAGTTATGATTGTTTGTTGCAGCATAGAGATTTAATTTTTTTCTTCATTTTTTAATTGATTATATGAATTATAGATGTTCAATTGTTTAAATATTTTGGAAATTTTAGGATAAGTTTCTAAATTATTTTCAACACTATCTCAGTTTCTTCACATCTAAAAAGATTGACTTGAATTGTATGGATGAACACAAATTTAAAAAATATTTTGCTCTTTCAAAATGGAATTGTTAAAATAATTTATTGGTGTGTTCTGAAGACTGAGAACAGCAGAATCATCAAGTATTCATTTCTAATATTTTCAATTGTTCTTTGCAGGTTCCTGTTGATATGGAGAAGACAGCATTGCATCAGCCTTTTCCCCTGTGCTCACAACATTACTTTTGGGTGGAACACTACATGCAGTGTGGTTTATGCAAGCGACGACTGTCACTTAATCACATGTACCTGCTGGGTCCTGAAGTGCATCAACTCAATCAGGCCCTTGCAAATGTGTCAGTACCAGTTGCACTGTCCGAAAAGATATTTGTGTGCAAGCTGTGCCGTTATTTCTGCCAGTTGTGTCTTAGGTATCAGGATCAACAAACGCTTACCTCTGGAAATAGATTATTTTGTGAGAATTATCGCAAGAAGTGAGTAAAACATTTTTTAGTTTTCTATTGTTAGTACTTGGTTTCTTTCTATGTGTTAATTTATATTCTTTCATTTTTCTGAAATTTTGGGAAGTTTTTTTATCATTGGGGTAGTAATATGATTTGTAATGGTTTGAATTAAATGCATGTAAAAATATTGAATAAAGTTTGTGCTGACTAAGCTTTTGAGAAATAAAAATAGCCTTATAATTCTTTTTAATTACTTATAATTCTTGGCATTTAAAACTTAAATATTTAAAATAATATCTGTTGATTTGAAAATGTGTCATTAATAAAGGACATAGTGTTGTAGTTGCAAAATTGGATAAAGCCCAAGTATGTCATGTCAAAAGAACTCTTAAATTTAAAAATAATTTACATCTACTCTGAGGACAGCCATCACAGAATCATGTAATAATTGTTCAGATGTTCTTTCTGGTAATTTACCCCTACTATTTAACCTTTGTTATACCAGTGAACAAATGACAAAAGTCTTTCAATTCAAGAGGGTTGTGAAAACATGATTTTCCCATGGAATAGTTCTAGGCAAGAAGCAAACTAATTTTTATTGTGTAGGAGAACTTTGTAGAGAACTTAGTGACCAATTTATACCTGGTTTTAATTTTTGTTGTATTTTCCCCCATCTTTGTGTTATACTTGTTTAGTGCATTCTGTATTACCCAGTAGTGATCTTTGCAGTGCACAGTGATGATTCCTTGATTTAAAATTACCTTTTGTCTTTTTATTTGTTTCTTCTCTAATCAATGCTATAGTACAAAGTTTGTAACAAAGTATGTTATGTAATTGTTTGTAGCTGACACCTAATGCAATCCTTTTAGTAATTGTAGTAATTATGTTTCTGCTTTTGACAGAATACTGTACCAGAACGAGATTGAAATATCAGACAGTGACGACAAGTCTCAAAACTTCATGCCACCAAAGAGTAAACGAAGAAAAACAAAATCTGCTCCTTCAGCCAGTGATGGTGAAGGAAAAGTAGAGAAAGAAAAAGGAGAAAAAGACAAGGAGTTATCTGTTTCTGCCAGTAATGATCCACCTGTGGTAGTCCTTGATGGTGGAGATGGTAGCAACTCCATGGATTCAACAGACTATGGCAGGGCAGGAGCAAGTACTCCTACTATTGACTATAGCAGCCTTGCATATCCAAGCACTAGCCTGGATATTTTGTCAACTCCGATTCCAATCTCCACTGCCTCGTCCTCCACTTCCACTGCTTCCTCCAAACAGCCACCAAAGACACCTCGAATCCGAGTGAAAGTTGGTAACACTACACTGGATCCAGCAACGGAAATAAGACCTGTTTTCTCCCCTCCAGCTGCTGAGACTCCACCTTCTGACCAATTCCAAATGCAGGCAGGCTTTGACTTCAGATCTCCATACCAGCCTGGCTCTAGGAAACGCAAAGGAGACTGGGAAACCTGTAACGCAACATTGCAGTTCACAAAGGAAACTAAAAAAGACTTTATGAATCTCCAGAGGCCGTATGGAAATCACTCGAGTTTCATGCGACATCTGGTGCTATTGGAGAAGTATTGGCGATCTGGGGATTTGGTGCTGTCTCCAAATGCCAGTGTTCGAGCAAATTCATACATCTCTAGTATTGAGAACCGAATAAAATCTTTGGAAGGGCCAATGCGTAGTCACTTGTCAGTACCAACAACTTCAGCACCATATGTTCCACCTGCATTACCTATCGTTACACCTTCAGTGTCTGTGTTGCCTCTCCCACCCCTGCTACCTGTGGTGCCTCAACAAGTACCTCTCCAGTTGCCACCACCACCTGTCGCAGTCATCGACCTTCCTGTGCGGCGATCGTCGGCAATTACAACCACGACTTCGGCCGTTAAGCCCATTACAATCTCAACAGTTCCAGTGTCTGCCAGCTCCAACAGTTCTATGGGCTCGTCACTCACTGCTTCCACATCAGTAGCAGCGCGGCTGACCTCAAAACCATCAGCACGGAACAAACCACTCCCGAACATCATTCAGGTGACAACTAGCAGTGGAAAGACATACCCAGTCTACAAAGCATTTTCCCTGCAGCAGATCAAAGCACTTCAGCAGCAAAGAAAACAGCAACAGGTGTCTTTGAAACAATCTCCGAAGCAGTCGCAACAGCAGTCTTCGAAGAAACAAGCCCAGGCACAGTCCCAGTTGTCTCAGCAGACACCACCTTTGGTGCAGATGCCTGATCTACTACTTCCTCAAACACAAACCAGTGCAACAGCAAATAAGTCAATGAACAATGAATTTATACCAATGATTGGGGATGTTTGGTCTTTGGCCCCAGAGAAAGCTACAAAATTGTGGGAGAAATCTGAGATCGACATTATATCGGAAAAAAAATCATCAACACCACCTTCCTCTTCTAGGCAGCCTCAGACAAGTGTTTCACAACCAAAAGTCTCAGTCACCATCCTCCCAAAACTACCCTCAGGAAAGTCATCGGGGCGCTCGAGCCATCTGGTAAATATTGCCCCCAAACCAGTAGCAGTAATGACATCCACTGGAGTCCTTTTATCTCGCAACTCTGAAATCAGCGTTTCCTCTGTGTCTGTCAGACGTGATGATCCTTCGAAATGCTGATGTCGAATGACACAAATGGTGATGATGAAGAAATCAAAAATGAAGTGCATCCACTACATTGGTCCCCAGAAAGATTTCCTTTGTTGTTGCTATTTTCTTTACATGCAAGGTGACTGGTGGCCATTGTTGATATGTAAAGTAACTAATTGTTCTTTGTTGAAACTGGCACAAGTGTGCTGTTACCCCTCTCCCAATATTAATCTTAATTTTGTTGTGTACCACACACTCTTAAATATTTGAAGTTTGTATTTAAACTGAATTATCATGACTTCCTAACTTTGAGGCATCTGTTCTATTTTATTTGTTCTTCAACTGAGCAAATAAATAAGAGACTGATAATATAGGTATGGAAGTAATAAGGATGATAAAGAATGCATGTAAAATATTGTTTTTTGTATATCTTGGCTGAGCATTCTTGCTATGTCCGTCAGTTGAGTGTGTGGTAATAACGACAGTTGCAGGTGTATAACTGCAGTTGTTTGTTAAGGAAGAACTGTAGTATTAGTAGAAATATAACATTTTGAATATTACTTCACTTGGACCAATATTTTTTAATGATATTTGAATGAATTGTAAATATGTAATCAACTCAGTGTAGCTTAAGAGGTTGTTGCCAATGGGACAATAGTATCTTCATGAGCTTCAATAGACCTTTTTCCTCTTGAAATGTTACATTATGAAATATATTTATTTAAATTGTATGTTTACTTATATTAATTTTATTTTTGCACATAACAATTTAAAGAATCATGTACACACTTTAATATCTTTTAAATCAGCTCATTAAAATTTTTGCCATAATGTTTTTGAAGTTTGCAATGCATCTTGGCAAGTTGATGTCACTGCAGGGAAAGATTGAAACAAGTGATTCTCTCTTTGCCACCAGGAATTTGAAACAATTGTGAAATATTTTATCAGTTTTGATTTGGTTTTTCTCATATTTTTTGTTGAAGATCTGTGCCTCAATAATTATGCCTTCACTTAGAGAAATAATTAAAAATTCTCTTTTGTGGGCTTCCTGGTATGTTGTGGGGTTAATTTTTAGTTAAAAGAGTTGTGTAGACCATTGAATTATTTTTATCGATGTTCAGTAAAGCACGTGGTGTGACCAATGTTCAGATCATAGTAACTGTATTCAAAGCAATTACATATGAATTTTCTTTTTAATTTAAAAAGAAATTTTGTGACATTAAAATGCTCTAAATTTTTTCTTTTTCAAGAATCGCTTTTCCTCACAGTTGCAAGTTTCCTGTCTTTATGTAACAATATTTTATTACAAATGATTGTGTATGATTATTTTTCAGATCCTTTAATTTCTTTTAATTTTAGTTTCACTAATATAAATTCGCTTAAAAGCTTTAAATCCTCAAATTATAAGATGAAATTGAATTTCAACATTAATTTATTTGTCAAATTATAATATTATGAATTGTAGTTATAGTTATTCCTATTCTTTATGTAATTGAAGATATTTGGAAATATAGAAACAGGGTATTAGTGAAAATCAGATAATGGTTTGTTCTTATTACAGCCTGTAGCGGTATATTAGTGGACTTTTTCATGTGTGTTAGATAATGCTATTGAATTAATGATGTGATTATGGTATTGGCTGAGACAAAACTTTAATACTTTCAGGATGTGATTGGTTATAATTGACATACTAGGTAAAGTTTTATCCTGGTGGCAAAGAGTGAATAAATGTGGGATGGGTCCCTATTGCCTCACTGCCGCATTATATAAGGTCAAGAAGTACAAAGATTTCAGGTTTGCATTCACTACACCGTGCCTAGAATGATCTCGCTTATGATTATTTATGTTATATTTCAACTCTCAGGCTTATGCTCTGATAAGTAGATGACTTGCAAGTTGTCTAGCAGTTGCTATGTACCAATATGATACATTCAATGATTAAAAAGTGACAAGTTCTTGTAGCCATTTCTCTTCTGTTCCATTGATGTTTTGGCTGATGTAAAGGTAGTTGACAGTTCTAAGTGCCAATATATTTATGTTTGTTAGACCTGATGTAAGGTATGGCAGTTCTTCAGAGCATCTTCTGGATAGCCAAAATTTTTAATTCAAATTGTAAACATAAAATTGATGCTTTCAAATTTCTTATTAAATCTAAACCTTGACAGATGTGTAACTTCTGTTTTGAATTTCAGATTTGATAATTTACATTGAGCAATAAGAAAACAGCATCATAAAATGTGTGTATAGTATTCTATTTCTTGGTCTAGTCTGTCTGGTCTGTAAAAATGTTTCACTAGAGTTATCTAATGACATGTTCAGGTACAATAATGATCCAAGTTATCTGCAGATTAGACATAGGTGAATAATTGCAAGAGAGTTGAGAATTATTCCATGTACAAAAGCATTGTATGATTTAGTTTCTGGTTGATTGCAAATACACACACAATATCACATGCTTGAGTTATAGATTTGTCCAATCTGCAAATGAAATGAGTAATTTTATGTAACAGCAAAGGGCACTTTGTAATTGGCCGGTGGCATTGGATATATGTGGGCATATCAGATGAGTGTATCAGTATACAATAAAGTTGGCTCATGGATTGTTGTGAGTTTTGCAAACTGTGCTTTGATCAACGTTTTGTAGTTTTGCATTTGAATAATTCCATTCTTTTGGGGGGGAAAACATCCATCTATTAAGAGGTGTGATTTCCTCAATGTAAGATTTCAAGGTATCATAATTTTTGAAATAAGGATGGTGAATTTTAGATGTTACTCAAAAGGTGAGAATATATCTGTAAATTCATTTTAAAGTCATTCACAAATTTTTGGAAAGGAATTCGGTGTTTAGATTTCTCTTCCAGATTTTTTTTTCACTGGTTATTTGTTTTTACTTTTTACAGATTTTCTTTCAGAGCAGCAATTATTAAATCCAAAATCAAATACTTTAAATATTTTTCTTGACTTTTATCTTTAAAATGTGTCAATATTGTTAAGTCTTGCATATTGTTGTATATAACTGTCATTGGTAACAATTCACCATCCCAAAAGGAAGTAAATTGATGTACACAAGTTGTTTTGTATGAGTATTGAAGACAAATTATCAGACATTAATTTTCATTTTTATTGTGTATTTGTTGAGTTTTCTTATTAAAAATACAATTGTGAATATTAAACCATTTTCAGTAAATAATATCATGTTTCTGTATATAATAATATTTTTGTACTGAAAACCAATGTATGAATAATTTTTAGATTTGTAAGTCTGAATTGGAATCCCATTATCTTGTAGCTCATAATTTGAATAATGTATTTTTGGTATAAGCAGTTAATTTATTAATATTTCAACTTCCTGATTCGCCATTTTTACTGTAAAAATTCCAGTGAGTGTTCATGTTTAACAACACAATTTCCTGGTTTACAATACAATATATGTATTTATCAGCAGTCCTGGTGCTAATATGTCTTATTGTACTCTTTCACATATTAATGGAAGGTCAACCATATAACTTATGTTTCTGCAAACATTCTGATGTTTGTATTCAAATAAGTCAGCTTTGAGAAGATGACAACTTACGCTGTTCCTTAATAGAGATGTCTTGTCTCTAATGTAAGAATGTGGGTGCTTCAGATTATATTTTTGTCCTTTGTCCAGTCGGTCTTTGCTTTCTCATGATCGCAATTAAAAATGTAACATTCATTTGCATAAGTGAAGGATCCCAAAACGACAAGTATTAAGTAAAAGCATACAGTTAAAAATTCTATTTATCATATTTATTTTTTGTTTTCAGTAAATTACAATTATTTGTATTTTAGAAGTGATATTTTATGCAATGTTGGGATCTGAAACAAATTTCACTGATGGTACTATGTTTTGTCCCTTCATGGAATATGCAGAAAGATTTGTAATCCAATGTTGGTAATGTTCACTTGTTCTTTATTATTTCTTCATTGCACAGAATCTGAAAATCTTTTCTGTACTTGCTTTGTTAGATGTCATGTCTGTTACTGGGTGTTGAAAGGAGACTATATCCATCATGTCTATCTTTTCTTTTTCTAGTAAACTCTCTTAGTTGTTTCTTCTTGCAATATTCTATTATACTGCCTGTTTTTGCTCTGCTTAATTTTGATTGCATAAAATAATTTTTAGATTGAAAGGAAAAATTATTGTTCTTGAGAATTCTGTCAACTATATTTTGAAAATAATTTTACTGCTTTCTTAAAGAATTATCCTATTATGACTATACAATTGAAATATGCATTAGTCTGATTTTATTGGCGTGTGAATCATATGCTCAAGAAGAAAAGAAACACGACATTTTTTTTTGCCACACATTAAATTATAAATTGAATTAAATGTTCTATTAAACTACAGCTTGTATGCACTCTGAGAGTTATTATTTCAATACCTTTTGAGCATAATGGCTTACCATTGACTGTTGAAATTTTATATTTTATGCAAGAAAATTGCCTCAGTTCAATCTGTGCTATTTGGTGATGCAATTAATGGATACCTTGACTATTGCAATATCTGCACAGTTATGTAATGTTTTGGAATGACTGTGATATTGCTTGACTGGCTTCTTGTTACCCATTATTGACTTCAACTTTCAACAAATTCAAATTATATTCAAAATTTTGTGGAAGTTTTTCTTCTGTAGTGCCTTGAATTGTTGAAGATGCATCTCATCTGATTTTCGGGACTTATTTCCATCCACATATTCCAAACAGGACTTGAAACACTTGACACAAGACAGTTTATTCTGCTCAGGGAAAATAATTGTGGGCATATTGTCACCATTTAATGTGTTCATGATTTTGGTTGCTTGAAATGTAAGGCATAAGTTTTTTTATAAGTGAGAATTTAGTGGATGAAAAAAAGTTGATTCACTGAGGTGTTCAACTTTTAAACGACTTAAAATCATTCACGATGGCGTTGTAATTTAATGAATTGTGTGTTTGAATCAGTCTTACATTGAAGACAATAAGAAAGATGAGAAGTTTCTCTGCAAAGTCAGGCATCGCAGTGATAGCATTTGATATTTTCAAATATGTTTAGAACTTGCTGCTGCATTTGTATCTGTGTATTGATCTCCTTCATTTAAATTGGTGTTTTCTTTGCTCTGTGAGATGTGTTCAGTTTCTGTATTACATAAAATTTGTACTTTTTGGTATACATAAGTGCTCAACTGTTTTGAATGAGAATTTATTTCAAAATTTGGTATCAAAAAAGTTGGTGGATGATTGCTGTTTTGAAGATGATTAGCAAGTTTTGATTTGTTTCTAAAACAGAGAATTTTATTGGTAATTTTTCATTTTGTGAATGATTAATCTGTCCTAGTGTACAAGTCGAATTCAAGGATTATTTTTTGCCAAATATACCAATTTAAATTAGCAAAGACAATGACAGATTTTTTCTTTTCTTTTCTTCCTCTTTCTTTCTTTCTTGTGTTACTATAAATATTTGTTTACTTGAGAATATAGAGAGCAATTTTTACCACATTATCAAATGACTTAATGGTTTTAAAACAAATTTTGGAAGAAAAGATTCTGACATTTCAGATTGTGGTTGTATACAGTTGCAATGATAATTGTTTTAACATACTACATTAAACTCTTCATTGGGCATTCTGTGTAAGTGGAAGAGTCAATCGTGAACTTCAATGTTATTGTTGGATTCCTAAAGTTTAACTCCTTTTATCATGTAAAATTCAAAACATTCTTGTCTCTGGTGAATTCTGCTCATAATCTATCCTATTCTAATTTGACTGTGCTCTGCTTTGGGGCAGGTTCTTAATTTACATTCTTAGCTCTTTCAATGTGCTATGCTGCTTGTCGTTTTTCTGTTGTGGGATTCAGTATGAATTAAGCATATATATTTATGTGTATTATGCTGAAACAAAAAAATTGTTATATTGTAAGCAATGTAGATCAGAATACTTTATCCATTTGGAACAGAGCAATAAACTTATTAAGTATTTTATTCCATTAACCATGCAGTGCCTGAGATTTAGATGACATTCACTCACTGTATGCAGTGAACTGGAATAATTGTGTGATCTGTTGTTTCCTTATCCATTCTCATTATTCCTGTCGTAATTGGTCTAACTGAGGATTGGTTAAAACTGTTGTGCAAAGACTGATGAGGAATTTTATTTACTTGTTCTATCATTGAATGGAACTATCAAAAAAGTGCAAGGCTGGTTATGTTTGCAAAAGGACTAAAGAACTACAAAAGAAAAATAGAGAGGAAGAATAATTATATCAAATATTTGTGTTCCAATCACAAATTGATGTTTCTGTATTTTTTCTTTGCCTAAGCTCATTTTAAAAGATTTAAAATTGCATGGTTCTGTTAGACAAAATATTTTCTTCTTTCATTTTGCGAAACACAATTTTCATTTATTTCCATTGCCATATGATTTGATCAAGTTAAGATAATTTCTACATCTTTTGTTTGCTCTGTAGCAATGCTGTGTGTGTTGCTACCTAATAGGAACTTGAGACTTAGTGAAATTATATCTAGTTTTATTGCTTTTTATCTTTTTTCATTGCTTACATTTAACATTCTCATTCAGATCATATCCTTGTAAACCCCTCTATATACACTTGTTTGCAGTAGATTTTTCCTCTGATAAATGTGTGCACTTTGTTACATAGCACTTTTGGAAGAACCAAGTGAAATCGCTGATATTATATAATTTATAAAAAGTACTATAAAATTGTGTATCATTTTTACAACTTTATTTGTTAATTATTAATTCTTTGCATATCAGTTGGGAATAGCTCTTAAGTAGTCTTGTTATTTTTATAATTATTTCATTGTTTGCATTTTTTGTTGCCTGTTTTCATTTGTACATTAAAAAAAATCACAAAATGTGGGTTTGTGAATTTATGAAAATTCATTTCATTATTTTGTAATTAATGAAATATCTCAACTGTAAATTAACCTGTGCAGATTCTGTCCGGTTTTTAATCAGTCCATCTTATCTCTACTACAATTAAACTTCCGTATTTAGAACGAGCAGTATACATTAAAAAAAATTCATTTCTCAAAAAAAAATGTTCAAATTTTTCTTGGAAGCATTTATTTTTTCTTAACCTTTTCATCCTTAAATTAATATGTCCCAGAAATATAGTGTAAAGCATTTTCAATGTTGATTTTATTATTCTTTTTTTTTAACTTTACCAGATATTTGTTTTGTATTTTATTACATTTGCCGAATTCCTTGTTTTAAATCAGTTTTTGTAATCATGTTAGTGAGATATAGACCTTCACAAGAGAATAAAATTCATAGCAGTAGTGAAACAAGTTTTAAGGGTTAGTAACTTCACTTTGATATGTAACTTCATGTTCAGTTTTCTTTGATTTTTCTCTATCTTCTTTTATTGTGCTTAGTTACAATGCTTTATTGATTCTTCTTTGAAATTTGTAGCTCTAAATCTCAAGTTACCAGTATTTTATCTCTTAATAAATTGTATAATGCATAAAAAATTATTAGAGAATATTGAATCTTAAATTAAAGTTGAACATTAAATATGTTATTTTATCAGCCGTAATGATTTCCTCAGAATCTGGTTTGCTCCAAATGCACTTAAGTCTGTATTTTGTAAAAGAAATTTCGGTGGATCAATATTTTTTAAGCACAATAGTTTTTGAACTGGGTAATAAAATATCTTGAGAATTCTGAATCTGGTGATCAATTGTCATTTTTTGTTTTTTCATGCACTGCTGGCAGTGAAATTTGAGATTAAAAATGTATTATTTTGTTCCTTAACTGTGACTCCAATTTATCATGTAATATCACTCTCTTTCGCTCACAACTTTTTCTTCTTTGTGCTAGTGATATATTGACTGCTGAAGGTCTGATGCAGTGTACATATATTTTGCCTCTTTAAAATATACCTAATGTCGGTTTTCTGATGCCTTTTCTTCCATAGTCTTTATGTAAACAATTTTTAACTTTCGGGTTTTGTAGTTTAATAGAGGATCAGTTATCCACGAACCTTTGGTCGTAAAGGATTCACAATTGTGTGTTATTGTAATTGAGATCACTGGTGGAGTGTGGTATCGTTTACCAACAATGAAGTGAAGTGTAGGCCTGAAAGGGCCGTCAAAAGGGAAAAGTTCCCTTAAGTGACATAATGGAAAGATAGTCAGTTATTTGTAGTGTGATTTTCTACTGTGTAAGTTTTATGGAATGTTTGAACATCATGTTTTTAGCTATGCCTCTGCAACCTTTCCAAGTATTTTAACAACTTTGCTTGAAAAAACAGAACCCTTTTGATGTAAGGCAAATAGTTTAAATTGGGAGTAATAAAAAAATGGCTGTCAAACTAGGAATTATCTGAATTAGTGTCTTGATTGTGATTCAAATGTTAGAGAGAGACATATTACTTATTTCTCTCTATGTAAATGTTAAAAAGCTTTTAAACAAATGTGTTTTTTTAAAATATTTTTTAACCTTGAAAAATGTTTTTTTTAATTCAATGCTTCCTGTAAATTTGGCTCGGATCAATTTCAGAATATACATTGTTGCAAAACAGCAAATTATCTAGAGATCTATTTATCTTATTTCACTTACAATTTCTTGGAATATTCATTCCAAGATTGTTAGAGAATGCTCCTAATTAAACTACAAACTTACAGTCAACAAAATTGTACTAAGATGTAATCATGGGTTGGTTGTTTCTTGCTGAGAAAATAGGAGTAGCAAGCTGAATGACTAAAATAAGTTTAATGTAATATTTTGCCTTGAGAGTCGGTTAGTCTCAACAGCACATCTGAGAGGTGAGGAACCACAGAACCTGAAGGGAATTCTTAAAAAGTCTGTTTCAAACTTCTTGGGTGCTGAACATCTTTACATGAAGATGGGTTTTTAAATGTGATTGTGAGAACAAAATATTTTCCCTTCATGTTTTTTGCTATACTGCTGTTTTCTCACAAAGTACCTGGCTCAGGGTTTGCTCTCCGATAATGAAAAAAAAATATTTTTGCGAGAATGTGCAAATCACTGGGCACACACTCTTGTAGCCTTATACAGAAGGGGTGTATCATCAATAATGAATGCAATTTATCCCAAGTTGGCTTTCAGCTGCTACGTTCTGGTTTGGTACGGTGTGGTTGTAGAGGCCTCTGGCTAAATGCAGGGAAATAATTATCTCTGTTTCCGAAATCTCTTGTGGAAAGCGGAAGATGGTAGATTGAAACATGGTTTGAAATATTGAAATGGAAAGACAAAGGAAAAAATAAGGCTGATTACAAGACCCAGTAATTGTTTGAACCAGTATATGTATTTTTATATAATGATCTACTAGCTCTAAACATTATTTTATAATGATCTAAATAGAAAAAGTTTATTCTTTGTAATTTAGGGTATGCTGTAGTGTGATATTTGTGAGTGTGCTGTGTACATTTGATAATTTCTTGTGGAACAGAGAGAAAAACAGATTTTGTGAGACCACACAAGAATGTTCTTTTCGTAGCATGCGAGTGTATGTGTGTGAACGTGTGCAAAGAAAAACAAAAAAGTGTTTTGAGAACAAAAACACTGAGGTGATTTTTGATTGTTATGTTTTCATGGTATTTTTTCTAGTGTTAAAGATAATTCTGAGGTTTTTTAAAAGAAAGACTCAATTTTTAGTGTCTGCTATTAGGGCACTGTTGAACCAAAATGAATGCAGGGAATATGTGCGGTCATAAGTGTTTCTTTTCCTTGTTCAAACTTGAACTACATATGAATGGAATGGTTGCTACCTTTAGTTTCAGTGAAAATGTATGTATACTATTTCAATAGAGGGTGGAACACATCCATCATGGGTTAAGTTAAGTCTTACTATTTACAAGTGCCTACTGGATGATATGCTTTCATTTTTTTCCTCCGAAGCCTTCTGCTATGTGTGAACATTTAAGTGTGGGTATTGAAAGATTTTGTTTCCCCAGCAGTACCAACTGTTGTGCTGTATCATTGAGTTGTCAGTGCTCTACTCAATAAAAGCCCACTTTTAGCAATACCATTTCGGGTGATTTCTACCCCATGAACAATTGTTCCTCTTGATCCTTATCCTGTTTACTACTCTCCTCATCCAAATGTATCAGCTAAACACTTTAAAATGTCTATGGTTTTACTTCCTTATATACTGCGTATTATGCAAACATGAGAGAAAGTTATGTAGATAGAGAAAATTGATGATACATTTGAATGAAAATAAACTTTTCATTTCCCCTCATATCAAATAAGTTTTTTTTTTTAAACCATCTGAAAACTAGTGCCTAAACAATCCATAGCATTTGTTTCAAAAATGAATATTCCCAGTTGATCTGACCTCGAGTTGCTCTGCAAAATTGAAACATATCTTTTAGTTTCCACAGAACTTCACGTGAAGCCAGTGGGTCATTTTCTAAAAAATTGCTCCAAGTTTTTTCTTTAAATTTATTGCGAGAATTTAGTGAAAAGGTTGGTAATGTTGTCCTTGAATTTTCGAAAATCTTAAATTTTTTGGACCCCATAAAGCCTCACCACTGAAAATATAGATCTTTTCAAATGAAATTAGTTCTTCACGATTAGATATTTAAACAATGTAGACCTAACACATGTTAAAAAAATGCTCATGTGAAATGTGTGCAATTGAAAAAATGCCACAAAAAGAGCTGTACATTTTTCTGATTTTTTCTCGGAAAACTTAAAAAAGCTTATAAAAACTGACATTTCAAAAATACAAAATTGAAGATAGAGATGTATTTCCAAATGGAATCTGTACTTCAAAATTACATTG